TAAGTCAAGAATGAAAGAAAACATCACTTTGAGCATATTATTGTTATTGTTCTTTTTTATATATATAAATATAACAATATTCAATAACTTCGTTATGTGGCTTTAAAGGAGCAAACTCCATTGCTTTGTAAAGCTCATTCTCTCTCAGGAATACCTTTAAATGTGTCATTAGTACAGTTTGTTTTGCAAAAATCATGCTAGCAATATTGTGTGTTCATTAAACCTGATTTGGTTAGCCAATGTATTTAGAATTAATTTACCAAATCAGGTTTGATAATGAACACAATTATTTCCAATTATTTGCATAAATTATTTGCATCATCTACATGCATCTGAACATTATAATCATTATATACTCCAGGTAAATCATTCATTTTCAGCGACAATAAAATAGGTCCCTAAATTGAGCCTTGTGGAACCCCTAAATGTAAGTTGATTTCACACTATCATACAATACACACACATTAAAAGATGTAATTTAAGTTAAATAAAAATTTAATAAAATTAGCTAAAAGAAACTGTGGTCCAGACTGAAGACAATATAAAGCAAAATAACATTACTGAAGCTCTCTCCACTGAACCTTTCCATAACTTTCAAAGGTCTGAGAATGTCCAAAGTTATCTAAGATAATTCCATGATCCACAGTGGAAAATCCCATTGACATTCTTCAGTGCCATTCGTGCAGCAACAAAGACACAAGATGAGGGGCCTTCAGAGAGAGTCAGGTTCGGTATGCTGTTGTTGTGATGGCTTCCAGCTCACTGAGTTGTATGACATGTGTTGAATGGCGGATTATAAAGAATTCAGGAGATCTGCTCCACTGATAAACCCTATGCATTTGCCTGGCATGATCAACCCGACGTCCAACACTCCCTCTGACCCGCAATGCGGGGTGAATATATTGTTTTTCCTTCCCTTCTTATATGTAACACTGCACCTTTGTCATGTCATTGACTGTACCCGGTGTTGTCATTTCAAACTTGGTCCATGTTGGCTTGTTCGGCTAGCTAATCTTCTCATGCCAGGTTATTGCTTTCTGCCAAGTGGGATTTTTCTCTACATTGATTGGCATACGATGGCTGTAATGCAGAAGTACTCAGGTATCACAGTTGACTGGCTTTCAGGCTTATATCTCAGCACGGACACAGCTGTCAGCTCGAAATGAAAGGCAACCAACCGAATCCTCCACGCCAGCTCTCATGCTAATTAGCACAAAATGGGCTCCGTGCCACACCGTGCAGGAATCCCCCTGCAAGATCTTCATCAAAGAACTGCGTCCTCTGTGTCTTTTGCTTCTCCACATGCCTGTGGATTAAAAGGCTTTGGATGGAAATTGTTTTTGTTGGTTTAACATCGCCATACGGTTTCAAAAATGCTCCAGGCCATAACTGAAAATCTTAAAGAGACAGTTCACCCAGTAACGAAAATTCTGTCACTGTTATTATTATTTTTAGATCATTGTTATTCTGTCATTGCTTTTTAAGCTGTTTTTGTAGCTGAACGTTGTAGATATTTTAAACAATGTTGGTACCTTGTACACCTTCTTATACTTTTAGAATTATTCAATGCATTCTAATGGCAATTCGTAACTTTTTGATTTAATGGCTAAATTGTAATTATTTGTATGATCTTATTTGTACAAAAGATTAGCTCATCCTTAATAAAGGTTAGGGGTGGTGTTTAAGTGTACGCCGCCTTTTAAAAATGATAGTCTTTAAGATAAAAGAAATCTTATGAATTTGTATGAATTAGATGATTTTCTGACAATATGTAACTTTGCTTTCATATGAGATTGACTATCCAATGATATGTACAGTGGCTGAGAGAGCTTAATGTGCTGCAATTTAAGAAAACACATCCAATTCCAAAAATGCCAGCAAATTAAGAAGAGATCTTCTTCATCTGTTTGACAGCACACATAATGCAAAACCTCACAACGAATATGCATACGCATAAAAAAATGTGCTGCATTTTCTCACAACACAAAAAAAAAAAATAAATAAAAATACGGAACACAAAAGAATGTTTTAAGGGAACCCAAAAACATGACGGACACCACTGTGCTGTCACTATTGGTGAGTGAGGTTGTAGATTGTCTTTGAAAGGTGAGTTTTTTTGTTTGATGATTTTAACATGCTGATTCCCTTGTCTTTTATATTTTTATAAGCCTAAATAACCATAAACTAAATAGCCGAGGCTGTCATGTTTTAGGGCACTCTTCAAACTTTTTTATTGTATTCTGTGCTATTTGAAAGTGAGAAATTGCAGCGCGTTAAAAAAACAAAAAATTGGTTGTGAAAAAACGCAGGGGGTTTCTAAAAATGTTTTTGCATTGTGAGGATTTGCAGCATGTGTGCTGTCAAACCGATGAAGATCTCTTCTCATTTTGCTGCTGTTTTTTGTAATTGCATGTGTTATCTTAAATTGCAGCAAGTTAAGCTCTCTTGGCCACTGTAGATATAATTAAATAGTTAATAGTCTTTGAGGAAATGAAAACACTGTATCTTCAAGAAGCATAATTCATCAAACATTAATCATAACAGCCACGTTTCATTTTATTTTATTTTATTTTTCATTTTAAATGAAAAGAAATTTAATACAATATAAATAATACATGATTTCATATTTTTGTTTTTCAGCTAAATATTTTCAGTACTCATAACTTGCCTTTATTTAGTAAATACATTCCATTAAGTATGTCATTATAACTTTACAGTTCTTGGTATTATAACTGTAATCTGCATTGTATAATTTATTATACGAGACATTTATTATTTAATGAACATTGTGAAGTTGCAAGAAACTGCAATTTTTCTATGATCATTCTTCTTACCTATGTTCAGATCTATACGGACTGGTAAAAATATATTTCTGCAGTTTATGAATAGCAATATCTGTCTCAGTTTCTTCTTATTACTAATGTATAACAATATAATTGCATTAGAAGTTTATAGACATTCCTAACAAATATTTTCACATTTAACAGATTTGATGTATTCATTAATATATGTATATATCTATCTATCCATCCATCCATCCGTCCATTCGTCTGTCCATTAATTGTCCGTCCATCCATCCATCCATCCATCCATCCATCCATCCATCCATCCATCCATCCATCCATCCATCCATCCATCCATCTTTCAATCTATCTTTTACATAGAAAGGGGTCTCTTATTACAATATGTATTATGCAAAGCCTTTTAAACTTTCTTTAAAATGTAAAAAGCAATAGGTTGAAATGCATAATCTTGGAGAGCAACAAAGCTTGTAAAAGACAATTTTCCTTATTTAAAATAATCAAAACTTAAATCAACATCACCTTCATTATCCTACATGCAGAAAAAAGTTCATTCTTTATTCATTTATTTTTGATTTATACAATGTAGTTGTCACCGACTCGGTCCCAGTCATTCCCCTTTGCTGGCCTGCAGAGGCCACTATCTCCGGACTTTTAGCATTACATCATCCTTTTACACTGATCCAGCACACCTGATCTTCATCCCGCTAATGACCCATGTACCCTTTATAAGCAGTTCTCACACACACAGTCTTTGCGAAGTCTTGTTTAGCCCCGGCCAGCATTACTGAGCGTTCTTTCCTGCCTGATCTCCTGTGAACAACTTCAGCCCGTTTCCTGACTCTGCTCTGCCTTCTGCCTGCCCACGACTTAAAGCCTGTTACACGGACTCTGATACTCGCTGCCTGCTCTCGACCCAAGCCTGTTACACGGACTCTGAATCACGCCGCCTGCCTCCGACCCATGCCTGGTACATCACTCTGTGTCTGTCAGCTGCCAGCCCTAAAACCTTCATTGCTGTTAATGTTGCATGTTCGCACATTCGTGCGTGTTGTTTGTGAAGTAAAGTGTGACTTAATAAATACTGCAAAATGGATCCCTCCGTGTCAGTCTCCCCGTTACAGTAGTACTAAAACAAAACATATACCTGACTTTTTCTTATTTACATTCATCACATTTTTTCTTTTGTTTTTCTGCAGTATTTTAATAAATAATTGAAGATTTAAATGCAACACGTCTAAAAGCCATTTGATATGTTCTTCTAAAATTACCGTTTTTCACCAATACTTTTGTGTTGGCTCAGTAATATAACATTTATAGCAATGGATAAGTTCTTTTCGTTGCCTTTCAAGTGGTACTGAACATAAACATAGTAGGCTGAGAAAAATTCTCATTTTAGGAGAATATTTCAGACAGCATTTAGAGGTTTTTGCATCTAAACTCATCCATTGCTTTTTTTTTACATACACTAAAAAAAATTATTTAAAGATGATTCCTTAAATTTACAATTTTTTTTTTAAAAGTGGTTGTAAACTATTAATTTGAGCTGAGTTTAAACCAACAGAGTACGTTTTAATTTAAGTTTTAAATTCAACCCACATAAATTGTTTGCAACAATTTTGCAAAAAAAAAATTTTTTTTTCAGTGTGGGATGTGGTTTTGATTACATCTCACGCTAATATTTGCTTAGAATTTACATTTTATTTTTTTTAGTTTAAAAAGTTCATTTCAATAAAAATTCCTCAGTACAAGCTTCTAAAGCAACACAAGCAGCATATAAAACCTCTAAATCCACCCAGAAGCCTTACTATAGCTCTCAGCACAGCAGAGCTCTAAAAATTAAAAGTGCTTCAGTGCAACAACAGGAAATCTTCAAAATGCAGCTGGCAGAAGCAAAAGAACGTGCAGCACTTGCACAAAATATGAGAGGAGTTCCCTGGTGGCTTCACCTGCAGAACGCCACAATCAAACGACCCTTCATTATCATGATCATCGCCATTCCCAGCAACTCCATGTTCATCCATGTGCCAAACAAACTGATAGAGAAGGATATTGTGGTTGTGATGAGTTGCTGTAGTGTGGAGAAGGCTGTTGATAACAGGAAAAGAGAAATATTACATTAGCGAAGTGCGGTGGATAAGCATAGAAGTGCTGTGAATGAAGCTAATCAATCTATCTCTCATTCTTTGTTTTGTCCAGTTTCCTGAATGCGGCTTTTATGGGATCTATGACAAGATCCTCCTGTTCAAGCACGACACCAGTAGCAATAACATCCTGCAGCTGGTCAAGGCAGTGTCCGACATCCAGGAGGGAGATCTGGTGGAGGTCGTCCTATCCGGTGAGCTCATTGAAAGTCCTGCAAATGCAACAAAGACTGTAAAATGAAGGATAAGGACAATAAATCAGTTTGATTGATTTATATTGACGTGCTGAAATAACAAATAAATAAGTAATAAAAATACATATATTAACATAATTTAAATGACATATATAAATATAACAAATATTTAGATATTAATACAAAACATTTAAATATTTTTTGAAAATGTACAATTTGGGTCTAAATAAAGAAATTTTGGTTTAAATATGAACAATTGATGGTTTAAAAATGCAATTAAAAAAACAACAACCAGTTGTGTTAATGATTATTGTATTAAAAGCACATGTAAATTTTAATAACAACAGCAATAATAAAAATTATAATAATATAATAATCATCATCAGTAGTAGTGGTTGTTGTAGTAGTAGTAGTAGTTGCAGTTGCAGTAGTAGAAGTAGTAGTAATGACAACATAATTTTTAATAATGCAGTGTCAACTAAAACTATATATTTTATTAATAAAGCTGAAATTAAATGTTCATTTCAGATGACAAAAATTAAGTTTACACATTTTTTAAATGTATTACAGAAATAAATTAATATTAATAATAATTAAAAATACATATACTGTTGGCGATGCGGTGGCACAGTAGGAAGTGCTGTCACCACACATCAAGAAGGTTGCTGGTTTGAGCTTCGGCTGGTTCAGTTTGGCATTTCTGTGTGGAGTTTGCATGTTCTCAGTGTGTTCGCGTGGGTTTCCTCCAGGTGCTCCCATTTTCCCCACAGTCCAAAGACATGCCGTTTAGGTAAATTGGGTAAAGGCTAAAATTTTCCGTAGTGTATGGTGAATGATGTTTCTCAGAGATGGGTTGGAGCCGGAAGGGCATTTGCTGCATAAAACATGTGCTGGATAAGTTGGCGGTTCATTTTGCTGTGACAACCCCAGATTAATAAAGGGACAAAGCCAAAAAGAAAATTAATAAATGAATGAATATATGCCGAAAAGAAGATTTCGTCAACACATTTCTAAACATAATAGTTTTAATAACTCATTTCTAGTAACTGATTTTTTTTCTTTGCCCTGATGACAGTAAATAATATTTCACTAGATATGTTTCAAGACACTTCTAAACAGCATAAAGTGATATTTAAAAGCTTAATTAGGTTAGTTAGGTTAACTAGGCAAGTTAGGGTAATTAGGCAAGTTATTGTATAATGATGGTTTGTTCTGTAGACTATTGGAAAATGGGGCTAACAATTTTGACCCTAAAATGGTTTTTAAAAAATTTAAAAACTGCTTATGTTCTAGCCAAAATAGAACAAATAAGACTTTCTCCAGAAGAAAAAAAAAAGTATTATCAGACATACTGGGAAAATTTCTTTACCCTGTTCAACATAATTTGGGAAATATTAAAAAAAAAATAAATAAATAAATAAATTTGGTAACACTTTATAATAACTACACACTATGAATCATTTACTAAGCATTAGCATTTAGTGAATTCATTATTTGTTAAGCATTAACTCTACATTAATAAACGTTAGTAAGCAGTTTATAACTGCAGCTACAAATGCTCTATTCTTGACTTATAAGCACCTATATAATGTGCTTAATAATCGTATTTTCATACTTAGTTGATGATTTATTTTTCATTACTAAATTAAGTATCGCATTATTTACAAACTTGTTGTATTTAAGAGTAGTTGAGGGTTTTTAGGATAATTCAGAATGAGTTAGTAAATGATTAATAAACTATTAAAATCAACATTTATATATCTTATTATTCAGGCATATACTAATAGTTAACTAATATGTTAATAAATGCTTTATCAACTCAACTTCATGCAGTTTTGTGACCTTATCTAAAGTGAGGACTATTCATGCTTTATAAATCCCTTAAAATGACAATTAAAGGCTCAGAATTAAATGAACAATAATCTTTGCAATCTTTTCTAAAATGTAAAATTACTGTAAAGTTTAAATATTGCCAAATAACAGGAGTGTCAAAATATGACATAAAACTGGATAAAACAACAACAATATAATAATCTAACAGTATGATAAGATGCAATGTTTATAATCTACAGTTATTTTATTTTAGATAAGGTTGCAAAGATTTAATTTTCATTTGAAGTACAGTTTCATTTGTATATCTTTAAATGAATATGAATGAATAATGTAATTTTTCCTGTTTAGAATTTAACTGAGCCTTTATTTGTCATTTATAAGGGATTTATATAGCATAAATGGTCCTCACTTTAGATTAGGTCACAAAACTAGATGAAGTTGAGTTAATAAAGCAAATGAATACAAATGGTTTGTACAAATGGTTTGTAAATAATGCAATACTTAATTTAGTAAAATAAATCACTAGCAAAGTATTTATTAAGCACATTGTAAATATGTTTGTAAGTCAAGAATAGAGCATATGTAGCTGAAGTTATAAACTGCTTACTAAGGCTTACTAATGTAGAGTTAATGCTTAACAGATAATGAACTCACCATTTGCTAATGCTTAATAAACGATTTATAGTGTGTAGGTATTTTAAAGTGTTACCAAAAATTCAAAGAGGAGCTAATAATTTTGACATATAAAAAGTTTAGGTTGAAATCATTCATTAATTTTCCTTTCATTTACTTTTCATTTTACATCGTCTTCGTCCCTTTTTTCATCAGGGGTTGCCATAGTAGAATAAACTACCAACTTATCCAGCATACGTTTTATGCCCTTCCAGCTGCAACCCAGTACATACACACATATACACTACAGCCAATTTCGTTTATTTAGTTTATCTATAGCATATGTCTCTGGACTGTAGGGGACACCGAAGGCACCTAGAGGAAACCCCTGCAAACACGGGGAGAACATACAAACTCTGTGAGGCGACAGTGCTAACCACTGAGCCACCAAATTGTCCTTAGGTTCAAGTACTAAAACTAATAAAAGTACGCCTGATATAAACACAAATGAAAGCAAAATAGAAATATAAAACCCAATAAAATAAGTGCCCTTATCAAAGTTACTTATACTAGAATTGAAATAAAAAATGCACACATGAAAGTAATTTAAAATATGCTTTTATAGTTAAAAGATAGTAATATTGTTTGTATAATAAAACTAAAATAACTATAATAATGAGATAAAGTATCACATAAGTGAAAAAATTGCATCTATACACATATGGGGGAAAATATTTTATGGGGAATGATATTATTATTTTCTTTTTTAATTCTCTTTCTGAGTTCTAATGTTAAAATTGACCACAGTCAAACACACACAC